CCATCATTTTCAGCAGCTTTATCTTCTTTTTTCTTTTTCCTTTGTTTTGATTGTTTTGTCTCCAAATTTATTTACATTACAACACAGTGAAGCAGAACTGCATCGCATTAATATAGTAAAATGTAATACTATCTCAGCTTTGCATGTTCTGCTTGTTTTATTTTATTATCTCTTCCTTCCTCCAAGCCAGACAAAAACATACTCTCATCTGGCATCATGAACATGAGGAACACAAACAAAACCATGTTATGTAAGCAGTCACAAATCTGTCACAAATCTTATTTTCCAGTTTTTTTTTACTGTTCATTACCTAAGATTTTATTACAGTTATCATGATGGTATAAAATAGGAGAGCATGGTACGATTTTTTAATAGGACAGACTGTTTTAACGGAGTGACATCTGTTAATTCAGCCTCCTAAACAATCCAGTACTTTTTTTGCTTTAGACCAGCCTCAATTCAGGAAGAAATCTTAAAGTTCTCTGGTCTTATTGATCCTGCTATCAGTGGGGTCCCCACAGGAAGTATGGCACAGTTCAAACTGAACTGAAAGATCAATTGATTGTATTTTGCAAGGCTGCCTCATGCCAAGACTTAGTGAAATCAGTGTTTTTATCTTAGCATCTGACATCAGGATCTTCCACAGATAAATCACAGTGGTGGTACAAACTGCATAGTGCCCATTGTTTATTTTTCTTACCTGGGACTGTGCTTGAAGAGTTCGTTTCAGTTCGTCGCTCTCTGAAAAGGGCATGGAGCTTTTGTCACAGGCTACCTTGTGCAGTTCTTCAAAGCACTGTGCAGATTTGCTATGGCAAACTGCTTGTAAATAGTCAGGATTTTTCAAGCCACTCATGGCACATTCGTAAAAAGTTCCATTGAGCAAAGCCACAGAAAGCCACATCACGGGGGCTACCAGAGCATTTAAAGTGATTTGTCCAAAGACGTAAAAGAAATGGCAGATATTCCCTCTGGGGAATATTTTCCTGGGATTCACCCAGCAGCCTGTAAAGAGTTTCCAGGTCTTGCTGTTCAGGAAATATCCGATCACTAGCAAAACAAAGGCCGGGGAGAAGAGAAATACCAACCCGTACCTGAAGTTTTCATTGCTGCAGGGGCATCTGAAAGCAACAAGGGAAAACACACGCTCGCCTCCCATTGTCAGCAGCGCCATAAAACTGTAACCTATAGCGGTTTTCTGGTTCATAAAGAATTTCAGGATTGTTTGGAAACCATCCATGTCCGATACTCACTAAAGAGGCAAAAGGCGAGAGGGTTGTCTCCGGCAGCAGCGGTGGGGAGCGGCGCGGCAGGGACGAGCTCTCCCGAGAAGCAGCAGCAGCAGCAGCCGCCTACTGCTCGCCCGCCTGCCTGCGCGCTGCCCGGAGAACGCCGTGATGTCACCGCCTGGAGAAACGGCTCTCGGATGATGCTGAGGGTGTTGAAGCAGAGCAGATGTTGCGCGTTTGCCGTAACGTTCATCGGTAGTAGAAGGAAAACGGGCGATGCTCTCTATAACCAAATACGTTTGCAGTCTTGTTCTTGATGGGTTGTTGGGGTTTTGTGACTGCAGATGGAGATCAAAGTAAAAGCACACACCCACCAGTTGCAGGACTTCTTGGGCTTGGATTATCAAAGTTGCCGGTGAGGCAGTGAAGGACCTAATATAGATGCTAATGGTCCCAGGGGAGCATGAAATGACTGAAAGCAGGAGAGTAATAACAGTAAAACCACTTTGCATAGGGTTGTAAATGTAGGAACTTCAAAGACAGAATAAGCAGCCTTCTGCTGTACTTCCTTGGAGGATCACGTAGCCTTGGATTTGCGTCTCTGACTCAAGCTGATCACAAAAGAGACAAGTGTAGTTTGATTTCCAGCCTGTTTGGCCCTTCCCCCTGTTTTCCTGGGGTAAAGCTGATGAACAGGATGCTGCAACATAGTTTCACATCCGGTTTGCACGGAACAGATTCAAGCAGCAGAGTTTCATCTTTTTGCAGGTCGCTTTCAAGATGTACCTTGGAGTCACTCCTCGTGTGAGTTGCACTAGTGCTGCAGGAAACGAATTCTCTTTAATCCTGGACAAAAACCCACTAGTGGACTTTGTGGAGGAGCTCCCAGCAGAACGAGCATCACTTTGCTACTGTAACCTTCTCTGTGGGGTGATTCGAGGTGCCTTGGAAATGGTAAGGAACTGCACGGCTGCTTTCTCCATTCCTTGTTAATATGCACCAGCACAGGAAAGCAAACGCACTTGCTCAGATAAATGAAGGAAATTTAGTAGTGTTTAGTCTCTCAGATTAAATGTCTATGTCTAAATAAAAGAGGGCCAGACTGATCCTGGATCCTGAGGCAGAGAGGCACGCAGGCTTGCTCACCTCCAGATTGTCCCTGCTTGGTTATCCTTGCTTCCCAATCCAAATGGGGCCAGGGAGCCAGCTAACACGTAATGTGGAGAGCCAGGGGTGCACGCTGGACTCCTCAGCTGCTTCTTGAGCCTAACTCATTTTCCTGTATAGATGTAACCAGTGATAGCCATCTCTGGTCCTTTCCAAATTCATGAAGATAACGTTCTTGGGTTCCTGCAGCACCTGCTGAAAGGGACAACAAAGTGTGGATAAGTATGTTAAGACCAAAGCATCAGAAGCATTATATCTGATAGAATGCTAATTAACAAAAGTATTAAATCATAAGTATTAGTATGTGACCAGGAAGTTTTGTGATCACAAAATCATCAAGGACAAAATTTAGGTTCTCAGAAGAAAGCAAAGCACTAGAATGAAGAGTGGTGTAATATACAAATTCCAGGGTATATAAGCTTCCTTTTTATCACCTTAGTCAGGAAAGATATTTTAAAACAGTCTAGAAATCTGTTTGTTATGAATGCTGAGAAAGGGAGTCCCCTTGTGGTAAGAGGGAGAGAAAAAGCTCATTACTCTGGAGGAAGGGAGAAAACTGTGCATTTCTTTGATTAACTGATCAAACCTGATTCTTTCTAGGTTCACTTAGCAGCAGAAGTTACCTTCCTCCAGGACAGGCTGAAAGGTGATGCGGTCACAGAAATAGGAATCACTTTTTTAAGGAAGGCTGAAGACAGAAAGCACAAAAGAAATAAATGAGAAAATATTCAAAGGAGCCATTGCTGAGGGATATTTTGCATCTTTTGTTTCTGAAGAAGACATGCAGGGTAAAAATGGCTTTGCTGTGCCAGCTGCACCAATATTAGGTCTGAAAGGTGAGGAGAGCTGGGCAGCAAACAGGAGGGGCACGGCAGGGTGAGAACAGTGTTAATTGTCATGACACAGACATCAATGCAAAAAATCAAAATGGTCAGCTTCTCCTTCTCACATAACCATGCTCCTGAGCTCAAGGAAAGTTTTATCTCAGTATTTAGTGCATGCTGGTTGCAAAATACCCATTTGGACAGCAACTCTTTTCTGCTAAACATGACTACCTTTTCCTATTTTGTTTGTCAGTAGCATTTCAAAGCATGGTTGCTAAGATGTGCTTTTTTCCCCTGGCCATTTGTGTTAGGAATATAATGAATCCTTCTGCTGTGGCTACTCTATATGCAGCGTCTTGCTGTGAGGTGCCTGTTTTGATGCACAATGGTTACCTTTCATTGGCCGCCACACCAGATGTCCTGCTCCCTTTGAAACTTTTGAGAGAGATGTGGTGTCACTGATAGCAGGACCTGGTTTGGTTCCTGACAGCTCTGTCAGGCCCCACGTGCAGTTCTGCAGGTGTGCCTGTTCAGTACCTGTGTACATCAGGCTGCTGTGCTCTGGTAACCACAGCAATGCTTGTGTTGCTTCAAGCTATGGGCCTTCTCATGTCACTCTTGTCCTCAAGAGCATTGATCTTATGACCAAACCAAACCAAAGCAAGCATGGAGTATTTTATGTGTAGTCACTATAGATCTGTACTCACCTAAGGAAATATGAATAAAAATTCAGAGACTGCCACACAACTGTTTTGCTGGTCATTGTGTCTGTTCTCACCTGACCTTTATCACTGGCTGTTGCACATCTCATCTTCCCCGTGGCCGTGGACTTCTTACTGCAGCATGACGGGCAAGTAGAGAGATAGCAGCCTCGCAGAGACCTGAGTTATGGGAAAGCTTTAATGCAAGATATCTGGGTAAAGATTGCACAAAACCCCAAGTCCTAGCACAGTACCCTTCCCACAAAGCCCGCTCACCAGCTTCTCACCAAAGCACTTGTTTTGAACTGCAATACAAACCCTCACCCCAGCTCAGCAAAGGCCAGAGTTAACTCTGATTATATTGCTGTGATTTGTACAATCCTTTTTCCCCCCCCCTCTGTCTGCTTACCTCTTGATCCTGCCAAGTGAGGGACACCTCTTACCTTGGGGGTAGTGGGGATCATTCCTAACAGATCTGGACAATCCTCACAACAAATCTTTCTCCCTTCGTTTGTCTTAACAGTGTCATACAGTGGTGGTGTAGTGTAACAGAGCTTGAAAAGAACATTTTTGAACAGAGTAAAAACTAAACTGTTTAACCAATCTTTGACTCATCCCAACATGCTGCTACCTGCCACAAATGAGTTACAACATGTAGCAACATGTTACAAGCAGTAGCAAGTTTCCCTACTTTTTTTTTTCCTAATGAGGGCTGAAATGCCTTTGGAATTTGCCCAATTTCACTGCCTGTGCAGGAGCCCTTGGTGGGGTTTTTGCTGGTTATGCCCAGCTGACTGTGATGGACATGTGTTGACTTTGGCTGACCAACAAAGAGGTTCTTTAAAAGGCAATAGCTGTTTTTGCTTTTTCTAGCAACATCCTACCGATCAAATACTCTCCTCTTTTTTTTTTTTTTTATTATCTTCCAAGTGAATAACCTATATTGTCCTTGTTTTGTAAGACATAATTCTCTTACTTAAATCTCTGTTGGGCTAGACTTGCATGCAGGGTGTGTGTGTGCATGCCCACACCTCTGATAACGTTTTCTTTTGATGTCTGCACCAGCTGAAAACGGTCAACGTTGCAGTGATAGGTAGGCTGACTCCTGTGTATTCAAGGCCTGTTGAAGAGCTTTTGCCTGCAGGCATTAGCTAGCAAAGTCAGGGCTGGATATTATAGCATTTTTAAAGCTACCATTAGTATCATCTTGGGGCCTTTGCAGTCTTGCCAACCTGGCTTTGGTGTGGCCAAGTCTTCCTCCCCTTCCTTCAACGCCAAACATTTAGAGTGATGCTCCATGTAGGACATCAGAGCTCTTTCTTCAGGTTTCAGTATTTCAGAATAAACAGCCTGAAGAAATCTGTGTCCGCTTGGACATGGTATGTTTTGAAGGACATGTTTTCACTGTGCAAACAAACGTATATCAGAAATGTGTGAGCCATGCACAGTTTTGAGATGAAGACAAGAGGGGACATGAGGCTGCCAGACTAGGCTAGGTGCTAGCTCCTACTCATGTCATACCCTGCCTGTGCATCTGGTCCTGCCGCAGTCGCTGCTCTCAGCTGAGCTCTGTGCTGGGCAGGTGTGCTCAGTGGGTCACAGGTTCTGCAGTTGGTGGGGTTTATTTTTTGTATTTTCTTCTACATTGGATCATCTCCTCTACTGATTACTTACTCCATCTTTAGAATGGAGATAAATGTTAGGTAGCTAACCAGTAATGAACAATAGGAAAAAGTGACCTATACTATGCTGCCATTAGTTGCTGACATGAGTTACCCTATGCACATGCAGTTTTTTGCTTGTCTCACTTGGCAGCATATTCACACAAGTGTTCCATCATGTTTTGTTTTGGTGTAGGCCCTTCTTTCAAAGGTGTCTAACAGAGCACTCACAAATGTGCTGAAGCTTCTTTTCAAAATCTATTTTGTTATAAATTTAATTACGTACAGAAGCTATGAGTGTTACATCAGGGTGAGGAAAAAAAATCAAAATTCAAACATGACTGCATACAAAACCAATATATAAGTATCTGCTTATACCCTTATACATAGACATAACTTTTTTTCCTTCCCCTAAAAGTCACTTTATCTATGAAAAATAGGCTGCCATCATGGTGGGCAAGCTGGAAGATACGTATTGTAATCTCATTTGAAGCTTTTGCTCATTGATTTTAATTAGAAGTGCTGGCTCTGTCTCTCCCCTGGAAAGCTGAGGCAACTTTGGCAATGAGACCCTGGCAGGTGTGACCATGAGTGGCAAGTGGCAAAAGCTCACCCAGATGCAGCTGTGAGGATTAACACAGATTCTGAGGACGTTTTCACTGCAGCTTTTCATCAGGATATGGAATAAGGCACAGGTTGTTCCTGGAGGTCTTCAGTCTATCCTGAAGTATTTTGTTATATCTCTAAGGTAAAGCCTGGCCCCACTGTGTCAGTTAATGTTTTGGCACTGACAGCAGTACGGCCAAGACATTGTTTCCTTCCCATTTATGACATTCCAGAGTAGATGTGGCTCTCTCTAGATGAACGAATAAACTGTTCAATATGAGAGGTAAAATGGAACATTTTTAACTGAACTATGCTTCTGGGATGCACAAGTACCAAACTGGATGCTTACTCCTCTATTATCAAGTTTCTTGGAAGGAAAAGAGCACAAAGCAAGTCAGTGACTTTGTGACAAAATGAATGCTTTGAAAAATTCTTTTCTATGTACAGACTTAAATCTTGGCTTCCCTTTATCTCTTGTATTTTCAGCTTATAACAAGAATGAAGTTTCCAAGCTATTTATATTCAGCTAGTCAAAACAAGCTCTTCAATTTTTTCTCCCTTGGAAAACAACAGTAACAAAGAACTTCATGGGATTCCTCTGTGTCTATCTGAATAGTTCTCAAGTTAGAGTTTACTGTCTAGAAAAAGAATAATTCTGGGAGGAGTGAAAGGACAGCCCAGACCAAACACTCTGACTTACCTCTCAGAAATGCTCTCTAAAAAATGCTTTGCAGAGAAAACCTGAACTTTATCATTCTTCTCTCAAAACTGTTACTTTTGTTTCTTAGAATTAGATGTTCTCTGCAAAGAATGTTATTATTTGCTAATATGGGCTGTGGATCTATAATGTCCTTAACTACGTATCTGTGCTATAAACGTTCGTTAATATAAGCTTCACCTATACTGCCATGTTATGCATAAGCCTAACCCTTCAAGACATAGAATCATAGAATCATAG